AAAAGTAGCAGCACTGTAAGGATCTGGTTCATGTCTTCATTGGCGTCTCACATGAAAATTACAAAGGAAGCAAGGATGTCGCTCGTGGATAGACAATCAAATAAAGAATTCTTAACTGGATTAACATTAACAGCAGAAATATATGTAGTTTTAGCAACATGCAGAAAATAAATAATAACAGAAACACATAATATGATAGATAAAACCACACAATAAAAGTCTATGATAATTGTTATCACTATAATTGGCGTCGACATTGATCTCTTAATGAGGACATGTTCTTTGCCACAATAAAGATGAGACTCTTAGCAGTGTTTAACAGTGAGGTAACTAAATATAATACGTCAAATAAAAAACAAACAAAATACAGGACTGAGGATCAAATGTGCTGTAACAGGGGAACAATGACGCCATATTCAAGCAGTTAGTAAACAAAATAACAGAAAAAAAATGCTAACAGTTTCAATAGTTAATTAATGTGACGTGAGTAATTAAACTGCAAAGGTATAGTATTTATGAAACGTATAAATACTACATCAATAAAATCACTGAAGTAGAGCATTTATCACATCAGGACGATGACTGGGTTAAACGGTCAAAAGAAAGTTCGGTGAAGCGAAATACTCAGACAGCAAAGAACGTTTTGACAAAAGTCTTCAAACACATCACATAGAAGTCGTCCTCTTGTGTGATGCATTTTTTTTTTAATTCTGAAGCCCCATCTTAGTTTTTGCCGGGGGTCCTAAATATAGCCTGGTCATAAATATGGCCTGACGGCTGAACGGGGTTTCTGGGATCTCTCCACGGGTTATCATCATCCGCATGGTGGCACCTTGTGTCACCGAGTGTTTATCGATTGTGGGATGTCCTGGTGGGGTATAACTTACCTACTTACTTACCAAAAGTCTTTGTCAAAAGATAAGGATCCTTGATTCATCTCCCTTTGATCCTCTTGTACACTACTGAATCGAGGCGACGGATCTTCTTCTTCTTCTTCTTGTTCACCGGCTGTGAATTCCGGCGGTAAGTCGCGGTTGTTCGTCCAAATTGACTTTTGGCTTTTACTTTGACCTGAGTTTTGCATGTACATCCGTTTTACTTGCTTATTTGTTTGCAGTTCTCGTTCCCTGCCTCTCCGGCAGATGTACTCCGACTTCGAGGGAAAGGAGGCGACGGATCAACTACGGGAGATGCCAGTTTGTCTACTGGTATGGACATAAGTTGTTGCGTATCTTTTACAGGACGTTGCAGAACCAACCCCAACAGTCCCTGGCTGTTGAGTGATTTATCTAGGCAATTTACGTCCAGTAGTTTGCCATTGTCTGCTGGACGGTCAGCTTTCTTGGTAACACTGTCGAAATCAACGCAAGGCGCATGGCCCGCAGCTGGGATCGAACCCGGCATCCCGGCATTACGAAGTTTGTCATAACAGTACAGAAAAAAAAAAAACTACTGCAATAGGCGCGTCTGGCACAAGACGCTTGCTTGAACACACAAATGTATCCTTTGTTAATAAACTGCTACCGTTATCTAGTTATCTTTAGCGATGATAATGTTGCTTGGATTCTTAATGGGTTAAATGGGTGCTTCTGTCCTGCGTAATAATGGTGCCTCTTGATTTCAATATCGGTGCTTGTCTGCCAAGTCCATCGCGGCTTTCCGTTGAGGAACCAGCTGTCGGTCTGACTATCAGACGATAGTCTGGCTTCGTTCCCAGTAAGGAGTAGTCCCTAGCGGGGCAGATTTGGTGAGGTACGCCCTTGATCGAGCAAGGCTGTCGTAACAGGCTAGCCGTCTCCCGTGCCGATAGGCATATGATGCTAGATTCATATTTTGTATAGACAAATCGGCACTTAATGGGATAGGTGGCCATCCCTCCTTTACTTCTCAGAAAATTACTTGGTGCCCACTTTAGGCTGCGTCGACCTGGCAGACAATATTAATCTTTAAACCCAAGACTTTCGGACCAACAGGGCAGTATCTAGTCGCTAAGCAACAGTGTCTCTGTAAGCCTGGCCATGTTTGATTTTATTTCTCCGAGCAGTGAAGTTACCCCTGCTGACTAGATAGGCCAGTCACATGTATTGACAGGATACTTAACTACAAGTACATACAGATTTGCTGCAATATAGTGATGCCAAAGGATGGAAATGCTGTACCGATCTTTAATCCCGTTGTTTTGTTCGTTGATCAATCTCTTCCTTCTTTGTTTGCCCTTAAAGGATGGCTGGGACATTGCATTATGGTTTACGGTTTGCGATATCTACGTTTAAAAAAAAACACATCTGATTTCAGAAAACCACATTTCGTCGCTGTTTATAGCATGCTTGTTAGTTGTTTGTAACCCCCACTACCCACACCTAAAAAAAAAAGACCCCGGCATCCACAGGGGAAGGTCGCCGGTGAATTTGGTCGAAACTTTTCTTTGCTGTTAAAGTATTTCCAATTTGCTGAGATCCCCGTTAACTTAAACGTGTCCAGTCTTTATTCGTATCAACTAGACAGCAGTCACCCCCTGGTTCATTTATCACAATACATAACACATAAATGAGAAATTCATTTATACAGGATATAAATGATCATATTTAACATATAAAAAACCCGCCCGACAATGGTTTCAAATACCTCTGGAATATCACACCGACTATAAGATGCTACAATAAAGTGAAGGTAAAATTGTGGATGGTATTTCACAGTCAGTAAATATCACATGGACAACAAACGACAACCAGAACAAAACGTGATTCTCGTGGAACGTGACAACATAATATAATAACAAAAACGTATTATAATAGATAACAAACACCTTGCATGAGGAATATCATGTAGAAAACAGGCAATTCGTATATCCATACTTTACAGTTTGTACAATTTACGGTTAGTTGAGCTAAACTCAGTTTGTACAATTTACGGTTAGATGAGTTAAACTCAGTTTGTACAATTTACGGTTAGTTGAGTTAAACTGAGTCAAGAACCGATGTCACAGTGCATTACCTAGCTTCCCTATGGGACTGCGTGGTCTCGAGGCATGGTGTCCGCTTCGAGTTCTAGAGGTTCGGGGTTCGGTAAGGGCTGGGATTTATTTTTCACGCCGGACTTGCACTTGAACTTCTAGTTGCGCATGTAAAAAAAAAAATCCCTTGGCAGTTGGAAATCGAAAAGAGCAGCCTAACTGCGCTGCCCGGGCAAAATTTGGAGTTAAAAATCTGCCCAAGGTATTTCAAGATCCTCGCCGGTGATACAGAGCCTGTGCATTGTGATGAGCTTTTTCGGACTCAGAATTGAAATAGAAGAAGAACGGAGCAGCTGGGTGGAGCACTTGATCAGTGGTCCATGATGTTGATCCGTTGTTCAAAACCTCAAACCTCATGAGAAATCGTTCTAGCATTATTTTACTTTCTTTGATAAACCAGTTGGCTTCAATGACTGAGAAATGGGCCGAACTTCTGTATCTGGGCGCGTTTTGAATGGGTCTATAATTCACAGTACTGGCGTCATCGTTATCATCAATTGCCATTGGCGTAGGCGATCATGCCTCCCCACAATCTGCGATTATCTACAATATTATCCGGTCATGTGCTGACACCCTTCAATGCCACGATAAAAGGCTGTCAAGAATCTTGTCGCTTTGTTTTCCCAGTCTCTTTGTACACACATGTTTTCAGTGTTCACAAAATGTTCCAGTTTTCTCATTACATAACCACATAATGAGGACTTTCTCTTTCTGACGTTTGTGACAATTTGTCTTTGAGCCCCTACCTCATTCAAAACATCTGTGTTGCTATTTTTCCCTGTCTACAATAAAGCCAACAGTTTATAAAATATTTATTTCTAAAGGCAACACTCGTGTGAACCTTTCTATATTCTTTGAGTTTCTCGTTTGCGTTCACCTTTAAAAGGGCAACTGTCAATTTGCATTGTGGTCTATACATAGACTGTGATATGTTTCCCCCCCGTGGTATGCAGGTGTGTTAGGAAATGAAGAGACGGACATACTGGCTAGTTCTGCCCCCACTGTGTGGTGAATTGGTGTTTGTCAAAATAAATATGTTTAGTGCCCTTTGGGATCGAGTGAACGATGAGGAAGCATAAAATTTATCATTATAATCTGAAGAGAATGTGTGTATCCAACAGTCACCAGGGCTTCCGGTTGACACCACGCTCAGAAGACAGTCAGACATCTAATCAAAATGCTACTGGCATCAATGGAATGAAAACTTTTTCGCTGGCTGCTGAAGATGCGGACGGAGCATTTATGGAAATGTACTGGGTGCTGTGATATCAGTTCTTAATTCAACTTAGCTCAGTAATTTCTTTCCCTTATACGATGACAAATACTTTTCTAAAGCATCAGGTCTGTTTCACGGACTACGTCGTTCAGTTCATGAGGGCAACCTTTATGGAAAGCTCTGGGAATCGCCCTTGGAGCTACGGGGTTCGTGCTTTGTGCGACGCTCTTGTCAGACAGATAGCCACTTTGATGACAGGCACTGAAGGAATATGGGATAAACTAAGTGCAGTTAGGTCGAATGTCTCGATTTTAAACATCACAGAACGAAATTATTGTTTCCTGTTAATTAGATTATAATAGTATTTGCCATCATTTAGATTTCAGCAATGTTTGCTATCATCAGCCATACCAAAGTCATTTGTTTTTAAATATTAAATATGCTACAGTCATATTTTTAAATAATCTCACCACAATCATATGTTAAATCAATCACACCACAGTCATAATTATCATTAATCAAACCAAAGAAAATAGGTCTCATTAATCACTCCACAGTGATAGCTCTCATTTGTCAAAAACAAGCAATTTTGTCTCATCAGCCAGACCCGAAAAATGTGTCTCATTAATCGGTGTACATTAATGTTTCTCATTAATCCGACTCACATTCTTATTTTTCATTAATAATACAAGAGGCAGGTCGGGGATTTTGGCAATGCAGTGACAAGGTGACTGAAACTAGAACCTAGAAGACAACGACTAGTAGTTACTACTATACATCGTCGCCTTCGCTGTCGTGTCCGTTAGCTTGCAGGGCTGCTGCATTGCGAATCTGTATAGACTTTTTACTTCTGTACAGGTCCCATAATCCAGACACGATTTCTGCTACCACAATGTCGCTAGAGTTCTTCCCGACCAGTCTCAACGTGAAGACACCATCGTGGCGTAGATACTCCATCGTGAAACGTGTGGCTAGCTTCTTGTCAGGACCGGATGAGATTCGGTCCATGATCTTCAAGAACTTTCTGATATAGTGCGTTCGCGAGGACGGAAACATCATGTGCCACAGCCACGAGAGGAAACTGTAGCACGTGACAACTGCCACGAACACAAGCCAGAACCACAGGAATATGTATATTTTCTCATTGAAGAGGTTTATGGGCAGGACGCACTGGACGGTGTAGTGGTGGTTGTTGGACATCTGACGGATGTCGAAGTCACACATGGTGACGCGAGGAAAGCGCCTGGACGCGGTCCAGTCGTGCTCTTCTATCAAATCTTCTAAAACTTCAAAGCCGTAGAGATTATATTCTGTGGCTAGAAACGCGTTCAGCATGAACAGTTGACCTATGGCGTTTGAGATATAAAGCACCTTCATTGCGAGGTATGTGGCAACGAGGTAGTTGCCGTACCGCCGACCACACAGAAGAGACAACTTAGCTGAAAGGATATGTAACAAAGTGACGCAACATCTAGGACGGCTTTCACGTTGATTATCCAAACAACGGTCTATATGTCGAACCACGAACTTGATTGTACGGATGCGGATCTCAGGTGCTTCATACTGGGCATCGCTGGCCAAAGAGACTATTCGATCAACGTTGATGCCTGACTGCCCGTTCAGTAGACGCCACATTATACAAGGTATATAGAACATAAGGGCCTGGATCAGCAGCATTACGGGCACCCACTGATAGTAGGTCAGCTCGTTCTCCACTCGCTTGGCCGTATTCTGTGGCACCGGCTCGTCCATGGGCACATAGTAGTGTTGGAGATCCAGCAGATGTTGTTTGTGTAGTCGACGTGGGCTCCGGTAAACTGCGCTGGGCACCAGCACCTGTGTGAAAGACAAGCATTGTAGCATTAGGTTTGTACTGGGTGTGTGTGTATGAATAATTTTTCAATTGTATCCAAAACGTTAATTTGTTTACCCTTCTTTAATGCAGTAGTTGTAGCAGTATTGCTGGTTGTGGTAGTAGTAATATTAGTAATAATGGTTGTAGAGATAGATGTATTAATACTTGTGATGGTAGTAGTAGTAATGTAAGTAGTAGTTGCATCAGTAATCCAAGTAGCAGCAGCAGTAATCCAAGTGTCAGCAACAGGGATAGCAGAGCTGGAAAATGAACAGCAGCAGCATAGTAGTAGTAGTAGTAGTAGTAGTAGTAGTAGCAGCATCATAGTAGTAGTAGTATTATTAGCAGAAGCAGCATTAGTAGCAATAGTACCAGTAGCAGTAGGAATAGTAGTAGTAATATAGCAGCAACAGTAGTAGTAATAGTAGCAGTAGCAATAGTAGTAGTAGTAGCAGCAGTAGTAGTAGTTGTGGTGGTGGTTGTGGTGGTGTTGGTAGTTAGTAGTAGTAGTAATTATAATCATAACATCATTTCCAACAAAACTAGGTTATAAGTATGATATGTAGACCATGTTTTCCGAGAAGAAGATGTAAAATACATACAAAAGCAACAGTGGTTCCCCATATCTCGTGCTCTAACTGTGGAAAGATTTATCTTAACCGGAGCAGACCTTGCTAGTCACACTAGTCATTGACGTGGCCTGTGATTGCTATGCTTACCTATCGCACAATATTGGGGTTTTGATGTTTTGAACAATTGATTAACATCACAGCACACGGGTGTAACCCATAAGCTCAGCACAGTGCACAGGCTCTGTAGCACCGGCGAGGATCCTGAAATACTTTGGGTAGATTTTTAACTAGAAATTTTGCCCGGACAGCGTTCAACTGCCAGGAGATTTTTTTTTTACATGCGCAACAATGCACAATGCGTCTGATCTCAGTACCCAGAGACCAGGGCGAATTACTAGAAGTGCAAGTCCACTTTAAAAAAATCACAGCTCTCACCGGGGATAGAACCTGAAACCTCTAGCACTGGAGGCGGACACCATGCCTCGAGACCAGACAGCCCCCTTCGCACAATATTTAACTCTAGCTGCCAGTGAGAAGGAGAGTCTGTTTTATTCTAGATAATGATTGTTTAATGATTGTTTAATGATTGTTTAATGATTGTTTAATAAATATTTAGGCTAAGTGATGAACAACAATAGCGACTGCACAACAAAAGGTCAGAAAAATGTGTCTACACTGCCGTACTGATGCTAAGTATCCCCATTGTGTGTTGTTGCTCCCTAAGAAACCCTGGGTCATCCTTTTCTCCTTCTGCGTTTGCTCATTAACGGTCTGCGTCATCAACAAGCTGGTCACACATTCGCTCGCCGGTAGATGACTTCGTCGCAGGTCAGAACAGTATTTGGGAACTGTCTCCTTTGATAACTTCAACACTGCAGAAGTTATCTTCAAGGTTCTTGGTGACGTGCAATGCTAGGCCATATTGTATGGCACACATAACCTAGTCACGATTATAACCTAAAGCTTCCTATTCGAAGATGCCGGTTTAACGCAACAATTTTGTTTTCCAGCAACTCCTCACCACCATCAATGTTTTGCCTAATACAACACAGCCAACCCACACTGGAGTACAGTTTACTTCCGGTCAAAATGGACAATTGGCACGGTCACTGTTTTTAGTCGTCGCAAAGTTTGATTCTGACAGACTGTGTCTACTGCATTTTCCTTCGTTTGTAGACTGAACGGATATAGTTTTGTCGCCCACCAACCTGAGTGTATGGCGCGACAATGTGAGCTGCGGATTTAATTTGGACTTTTTTTTTTTTGATTGTGACCAACGTGGTTTGTGAACTGTACATTCAGAAAATGGCGACTGGCCTGTTGCTACACAACTGGTGGTGCCTTATATGATTAAAATTGATCGCGTGTGAAACTGCTGATCTGTTTATAACTGCTGATTCTGTCGATGATGAAATGTATTTATAATATCGGACTGTTTATATCACCACTTATGATGGCTGCCTTAATGCTGTGTGTGCTAGTGAATATCGTAAAATTGTAGTCTGTGTCAATTTTCACACAAGTGACAGTGATGGACAATCTTCTGTTTTTCGTCGGTTTCTCTATGGGGTGACCCGTTTGTTATGAGGCTGAAACTAAGATCACCAGATTACATGTTACTTCGTACCAGTTTTGTGCTGCCTTGCAATATGGCTAAATGGTTGAACTGGGTTTCTGAGGTGTTTAGCTGTTTGATACTTATCCTTCATATTTTAATTCTACAGAACGCAAATCTGATATAAAGGGGGAAACATAATAGATGTGTTGTGGCTACAGCTAGGCTGCGAATTCTGCGCCTTTCGACCCAACACATTTGATTTCAGAAAACTCCTAATTAGTCGCCTTTTACGACATGCTTATTAGGGGCAATAAGTATATCCCCCCCCCCCCTTTCCATCCCACACCCACCAAACGGGGACACATGACCCATACATACAAGCACTGGGTGGAATCAACTTCTTTCTTTGTAAGAGACGCACATTTTTATTATTTAAAAACACACCGGGGCTGTCACAGCGCCCCATATAGCATAATGTTCAACAGGGTTTCTTAAACTTTGAGCCTGGGGGATTTTCATCCGAATGGTGCAGCTTTTGTGTCACCGGCTGTTAATCCTCATTCTGCGGTTCTGGTTCGGGTTGAATGTCACTCATGCATTCACCTGTAAGCGTTTCCTACTGTTAGTGGTTTCCTTGTTACATTCTGTGTTCCTTCAGCTGGGGGTGTATCGGTTTTCACCCTCTGGGATGCTACTCGAAGTTTTCACCATCTCTCAAAGGGGCACAAACGACACAATGTGGGCATAGACGGAGAGGGGTTAAAGTGAGCAAGTTGGGTTACAGTGAGCAAGTTGGGTTTAAGTGAGCAAGTTGGGTTAAAGTGCATAGTAAAATATTATGTTCAAAATCGGATGGGTGGGACACAAAATTGTAGATATCACAGCCTAGCTGTAAACCACAGCACAACATACAAACTGTCCTTCAAATGACGAACTCAAAAGATGAAGAATCAAACAAAATAGTTAGAAATGTGCCTGCTATAATCGACGTACAGCGCTGTTGGATAAGTAAAAATGTCTGGTCTTCCTTATTGTAAACGCCTGCACTTCCAAATGGCCAAACATGTCAGAGAAAAGCTAATAATCAGCGTTGTTCTCATTTTTTCCCCTCCTTCCAATCCTGCGTTAAATCAACAAATTTGTAGAACCCGCGTCGACCCATAATTAAATACGGCTTAGCAGGAATATTATTATTTTCATTATCAAATTTTTACCGCCAGGAACTATTTAATTATTACCAAATTACTCTTATTGAAATTCACGGAAGGGACAAAAACCGAATGTCCATAATCAAGGGCAACATGTAATTTCACAAAGTATTTCTAGTAAGACTGCGAGGAACCGCTAAAAAGTGATGCTGTTTGCCAACGTGCGATTATTATTATTATCATCATCATTATTATTACTATTATTATTATTATTGGTCAAAATGTGTTCTTATTGCAAAATTATATGCGTGAGTTATCATATAATCTGAATTATTTACCGGTAGATCTACAAACTGTTAATGAAAACAAAAATGTCTTGGTCGCGTCGTTTAATGATAACTTATAAAGATATTTTACCTATATTTAAGTAAAACAGAATGTTTGTGTAACGATATTGCAATGATAAATGCATTCACTTTTAAAACTGCGGGACGCGACCCCCCCCCCCCCCCCAACCCCCCCACCCCCCCCGCCCCACGCTCACCTCCAGGTGGCCGCGCCACGTGAAGCTGGAGACAGCAGGTCTAAAACTGCATCTCACTAACAATATTTAGACTCTTACATTGCACTGCCGGGGAATCGCTGTGGTGTAGACGCTAGTCTGTAGATCCAAAGGTCGTGAGTTCGGGTCCTGGCGGAGGCCGGCTTCTTTTTTTTTTTTCTTTCTTTCTTTCAAAAATGACGTTGACTCCCAGATCGACCAAACCCTGAGTGGGTACCAAGGTACAAGCGCTGGGAAGTAAAGGGGGGACGGCGTGATGCTGACCACATCACCACCAAGTGCCGATTGTTCTATACAATATAGGTCTAGCCCTATATGCACAATGCGCCGAAAGGCATTTGAAGGGTCCGTTGCTTATACATGGAAAAGAGTTCTTCGCCCACTTATTGCCCTGCAGCAGACAGACTAGCCGTATCTGCTTTGAATGGTAGAGGAAGATGTATGGACAGCGGTATAGAGCGGATGAGATCTCCACAGCTGTGGCGACATTCACCAGCAAACACGATAAGAAGAGTCTTGCAGATCCAGGGCACGGTATTTCATGACCATTGCTGTCAATGTATGCAGCCCTGGATTAAGATATTGGCCTGGATTAAGATATTGGCTTAATAAGCTGCAGTTTTGGATCTCGCAGTCTGCAGGAGCATACCCACAAATGAAATTTTCTTCTTCTTCTTCTACTACAGCATTACGAGCCCTTGAGGTTCTTTGCTGCAGATATCACCTGGCTCCATTCATCTCTCTAGTTAGCCTTCTCTTTCCAGTTGGTGACATTTCAAGTGTTTGCAGGTATGTCTGGACATCATCTTTCCATCTTCTTCTACCTCATGGTCTACGACGATTCATCTCCCTTGTGTATGCAGTTTTTACTTCTCTTTCATCTGACATTCTTTCAATATGTCCCAACCATTTCAGTCTATTAGCCCTCATAATGCCAGTGATCAAAGGTGATTTAAACAGAGTACGAATTTCGTTATTGCTTCTGACTCTCCATTCTTCGCTGTTTGCATCTTTAATGAGTTCAAAGATTCATTGTTATGAAATGAACCAAAATGGAATTTTGGTTTATTATAATGTAAATACAATTGTCTTTCCCTATGATTTAAGTTGTTTACTTCTGACATATCTGTAGCCACCTACCCCCACCATCTTTTTTTAAGAAAGGTTCTAACTTTTTTAATTTTCTTATTGGTGTATTATTTTAGGCTCTCATTTAAAAACGACAAGATTTTTCCATTATCAGTATATTTAAAAACTGTCTATATATTTATATCAACTGTTGTATATGTTGAAGGGGGAATCTGAGCACAATAGTCCGGAGTGCCGTCAAGATAACTTAAATCATAACTCATATTCCCCCATTCAACATATACAACAATTTGCGATTATATATATATATATATATATATATATATATATATATATTCCACCTTCTTCTCAGACACTGGGCTCTTGGCAAATCTACAACTTGTATGATATAGCCCGCAAGGAAATCAAAGAACAAGACGTACCTGATAGGGTCGCCAACATACTGCCTGGCGCTAACGACAACGGTGAAGATGATGAGTATGCCTGTAGTGTACAGATGGTTGACTCTGTCGTTGAGGTCGTCGTCGTTGCGTACTTTAACATTGGCCACTCTCCCCACCGACCCGATGATACTGTCCATCCTGTGGAAGAATCACCAGGAACATCAGTGCTACAGTCAAGACACAAACATCAGTGCTACAGTCAAGACACAAACATCAGTGTTGCAGTCAAGACACAAACATTAGTGCTACAGTCAAGACACAAACATTAGTGCTACAGTCAAGACACAAACATTAGTGCTACAGTCAAGACACAAACATCAGTGCTACAGTCAAGACACAAACATTAGTGCTACAGTCAAGACACAAACATTAGTGCTACAGTCAAGACACAAACATTAGTGCTACAGTCAAGACACAAACATCAGTGCTACAGTCAAGACACAAACATTAGTGCTACAGTCAAGACACAAACATCAGTGCTACAGTCAAGACACAAACATCAGTGCTACAGTCATGACACAAACATCAGTGCTACAGTCAAGACACAAACATCAGTGCTACAGTCAAGACACAAACATCAGTGCTACAGTCAAGACACAAACATTAGTGCTACAATCACTCCACAAACACCAGTGCTGCAGTCACGTCAGATACATCCCTCGTTGTTACAGTCATGTCACAAAAACCAATCAATGTTACAACCACGTCAGAAATATCAGTCAGTGTTATAGTGCCGCCAGAAACATCAGTCAATGCTACAGTCCCACCAGAAATCAGACAATGCTGTAATCACGCTAGACACTTTAGTCAATGTTACAGTCACTCCGGAAACAGCAGGCAACGTTACAATCACGCCAGAAACATCAATGTTATAGTCACGCCACGTTCATCAATGTTATAGTCACGCCACATACATCAATGTTATAATCACGCCACATACATCAATGTAATAGTCACGCCACAAACATCTGCACTTCAGTCACGCCACACACATCACTGATATAGTTACGCCACACACATCAGTCAATGTAACAGTCTCACCAGAAACATCTGCACTTCAGTCACGCCACACACATCACTGATATAGTTACGCCACACACATCAGTCAATGTAACAGTCACACCAGAAACATCAGAGTTTCAGCCTACATCAGCCCGCTAGGATGGCACTGAGAAGGGAGGAGGAGGAGATGTTATTGTTTGGAAATAAAGTCTCCTTACTGTAAAAGTTCAGGAATCTGAAATACCCTGTGTGTGTGTGTGTGTGTATGCATGTGTGTGTGTATGCATGTGTGTGTGTGTATGTGTGCATGTGTGTGTATGTGTGCGCGTGTGACTGTGTGTGTGCATGCGTGTGTGTGTGTGTGTGCATGCGTGTGTCCGTGTGTGTGTGTATGTGCGTGTGTGTGTCCGTGTGTGTTTGTGTGCATGCGTGTGTGTATGTGTGCTGACTCATCAGGCTTGACTTTTACTAAAGATGTGCCCAAAGAACTTTGCTCCTGTCTTCTCGTCAGGGTGTTCGGGGATGTGGCACTGTCTGGCTATTCCAGAAAATGCAATTTTTGCTTGTTTGACCTTTGTTGGGGTGAGGCTTACTTGCAAAAGTCCTTGACATCTATCCGTGAGTTTTTGTCTCGAAAGAAGTAAATAAAGATAGCGCTCGGTGTCATGACTAATTAGGACTCCTACACGTTCGTATTACAAACAAAGGTCGTATACCAAGGAAAGGTTTTCACGTCTAAACTGTATAAATATAAATATATATACATAGGAAATTGTTCAGAAAGTAAAGGCGGTTGATGTTACTAAGCCGTCAAATGCCGATCGATTTAAAACTCTGAGGGTAGCGCACTCATTAAAGCGTTTCTCAATTTGTTGGACACATGTCTTAACATCCCACATACAAGAGGCTGTACTTGTATGATAATAATGACTGAGGTCAGAAAGAGTGAGAAAGGATGTGAGACAGAAGCAGTAACAGTGAGGGGTGTGAAAAATAGAGAAAACGTGTAACAGTGAGTGAGAGGGAGAGATAACAATACACTACACATTTGATATCTACAGAGATAAACACATCAGTGTCGCCTAAATCCGCACGTTGACATAAGAGCCAATGGGCGTCCTGGGACATGTTTTAAAATAAACCGGTTGAAAACATATATATATATATAAACAAACTGCCGTCAGGCTCAAATATTTTCGGACATTTGGCATATTGTCAGGGCCTTTCATAATTATTTTTGTTGACGAGACTGTCTGTTTTCTCGAGATGCTTTTCCCCGCGTACTGACACATGTTTCAGAAGTGCCTCAAGGGAGAGTTGATTCGGTAAATATCTGAGGTTTGGGCCCGGTCGTGGAGAGCGACAAGCTTCCCTGTCAACTTAAGGACGAATATTGATTGCAGATATGCCTACTTGCAGTCAGACCCGGCCAGGATTGTGTCAGATCTGTATTCTCGAGGGCTTATGAAGGCAACATTTCTTTTGAGACGTCCTACATTCAGACGACAATTTTGCTGCTAGGATCCGCGCAAGAAGTAGATGCACCAAAATAGAAATTTAAAGCTAAAAATTGAGAGGATCACTGTCAATATCACTGCACCGGGTCCCCCCACCCCAACCCCACCTCCCAACGACTCGGTATCTTTACGTAGAACGGACAGTTAGTCGCTTACCGGGTGCGTCGCACAAAGGGCGAACTTAGTAGCTCCAGCAAAAATCCCCTAGGATCTATATGACAATCGCACTCACGAACCGAGCGACGCAGTCAGTGAAGTAAATGTACAACCTGTACAGCGCGAGGCAAATGACTTGACCAGTTCGCCACGGACACTCCCCCCCCCCCCTATCTTCCATCCCCCTACCCCCATCCACCTCTACCCGATCCCTTTCCGACAGAAATAGAAGTCGTTTTTTCTTTAAAGGCTGCAGTCTAGGCTAAATCAATCAATGAGGTGCTGTTCAGGTGCTTCTCTATATATAAATAGAGAAGGCCGTGGCGCTGTTCAATGCCTTATCCAGATCTGAAGAAAGCCTTTGAGCCGTCTCACAATGAAGATTGGCTGCAAGAACACCTTCTGTCCATTTTCTCAGTAGTAAACACTACAGGTTGTTAGTACGCTCTATCAGATTGATGTTCTCTCTAGCTTTCTTTGTTTCTCTCTCTCTCTCTCTCTCTCTCTCTCTCTCTCTCTCTCTCTCTCTATATATATATATATATATATATATATATATATATATATATATATATATATATATATATATATATTTAAAATCCAGAAACCATGGGTTGTTAACCCTATGGCTCGGTACTGTGGTATCGAAACTATTCGACCTTGATTCCATGATAAATACCGTAACTCTGGGTGAAATGAGGCTTTCTGCCTACCCCCGGGTGTGAACTCGGACCACAAGGAGTTCGTCACCTGGTTGCCGCAAAGTCAGGTTTAACCAGCTACGCTAGAGAGCCGGGCATATATATATATATATATATATATATATATATATATATATATATATATATATGTGTGTGTGTGTGTGTGTACAGAGCGTATATGTGTGTGTGAGTGTGTGTTTGTGTGTATGCCTCACTTTCTCTCCATTTTAAGTTTATTTCGCTGCCTTTTCCTGTCCTAATTGCTCTGATTTATCTATCTCACTTGCTTTCTTCACTCTCTCTCTCTCTCTCTCTCTTCTCTCTCTCTCTCTCTCTCTCTCTCTCTCGCTATATAACAAATATACATACACACACACACACATATATATATATATATATATATATATACATATATATTATATAAAAACGCGCGCGCGCACACACACACTCTTTATATATATATATATATAATATATATATATATATATATATATATATATATATATATATATATATATATATTTAATCAAATCCCACACATAGAGGAGTGATGTCTCTTACTTCTCCTTACTAATCGATTTTGTTTTTCAGTCCATACGCAATGTTCGGGTTATCTCATCTTTCGTGTCTATATCTCTCCACAGTTCTCTCTCCCCCCCCCCCCCCCCCCCCCCCCATAAAGCAATATCAGATTGCAAACGATGCTAATTTAACACTGACATCGAACCGTTTTATCGCCACACAGCCTCCCTACATACCTAGGCAGCCAGTAATAGGATTACCAGATTACCACTTTGGGTGTGGAATCCAGGTTCCCTAACTATTATTATTTACTAGATGCCTTAGTCTGCCACACGACGAGGCCATCATAATCCGTCAAAATGTCAAAGATAACAAAGAGAAAGAACTACCTTCTGACATCGCCATGCACATCTGTACGGTTCAATAGCGGAGTACCTTTTCTCATTTGTTGTGGCGTCTTTGTTTAAACGGACTTTGTGTTTGTTCCTTACACGTCATTACCGAAACTAGACGCAGCTGGCGGCAATCGTTCTTTATCAGAGAAATGCCGTTTCTGCTCACTTCACGAGATGGGAGTATGCTTCGTGTAGGCATCCTTCGCTGCGGAATTATACAGGCGGCGATGTATTGGAATAAGCAGGGATGAGGCACCTTCATGCGTATTAGGAATGTAGTTCTAGACCTATATTTCATAGACCAGTCAACACCGGGTGGGTGATATGATCAGCATCACACCTGCCGCCTTTACTTTCCAGGAATACACCTATACACTCTCTAACCATTCAATGCTAAGTTGCCCTAGAAGGCAAGGTCTTTACAAACTAAAAAAGCTCGGCTCCATCAGGACCCGAACCACCCCCCTTGCGATCCACAGACGACCGTTTAGCCACAATACAAATGCGACTCCCATATATATATATATATATATATATATATATATATATATATATATATATATATATATATATACATGGGAGCAGCCATATATATGCTTGTATGTGTGTGTGTGTGTGTGTGTGTGTGTGTGTGTGTAGTCGAATATAGTCAATAAAACTGGTGTGCTAAAGATAGAGAGCGAGCGATACAGAATCACACAGCGACTGAGAGAGAGAGAGAGAGAGAGAGAGAGAGAGAGAGAGAGAGAGAGAGAGAGAGAGAGAGAGAGAGAGAGAGAGAGAAAGAAATACTCGAATACTGACAGTTAGATCGACGCCCTTTGAATACCCCCGTCCCCTCCCC